CATTATTGATGAGGCTTGGGACAGAAGCTGTAATACTCCTATTAAATTGGGAGCACCATAAAACATCAGCTTTTTCTTAGTTGATCACCTCATCTATCTCTTTCCGCCAGTGGGTAGACTGTAATCAGTAATTAATGAGAGCATTACTTGCAAAACATATAACTTACCACTTCAGTCTGTTAAAGAGGAAATATCACAATGACATTTATAAGCATAATAATTTCACTTAAAAATGTGTTTTCTTTTTATGTCAGTAAAATAAAGGACCCTGTTCCACGCCTTCAAACGTATTGAGCATATATGAAAGACCTATATTTTACAGACCAATCAGCACTTGGTGGGTGATGAAGTCAGGATCTCACCGGCCGCCATTACTTTCCAGGACTATACCTAGTGGGTATACTCAAAGTGGGTTCAAACTAGGAGACAAGGTCATTTTTGACAGAAAGTCCCTCTCGGTCAGCTCCCGAACCCTCGACCTTCTGATCTGCAGGTGGGCGTCTAGGCACTAGACAACAGGAGCTGCCATTATAATTATATGTAATCTGCTTGTGTGGTGGACTATTGACTGCTGACTTGCACTGCTTACTGTGACAGTAATACATTCATAATTCATGCATTGTCCTGTTGCGCCATTATGTGCCACACAGGGCTTGCTGTCTGTTTCCTCATTCCCTGCTATCCAGTTTGAAGTTTGAGGTTTAAACAACGGACCATCATAGCGCACGGGTAGTAACCCATAAGTGCTCTGTTCTTCTTCTAAATCAAGTCCAAGTCCGAAAAAGCTCAGGACAGGGCACAGATTCTGTATCACCGGCGAGCATGCTGAAGTACTTTAGGTAGATTTGTAACTTCAAATGCTGACCACATCACCAATATTGTGCCGATTGGTCAATAAAAATATATAGGTCTAGCCCTATATGCCCTATACGCCTAAAGGCTTGGAAAAGGGACCTTTACCTTTACTTGAAACATGTTCTGTTTAGACATAATTTCACTTTGATGAGAGCTGCGGATTAGAGAAACTAAATTAACTGATAACATTCATAAACAGATGGTAATGCCAGCACAATATCCTAATATGTTTTCAACTCCAGATCCTTTATTATTGTTGCTGTTGGCACCTATCTACATTTCTAAATGACAGTGTTGTGTAAAGAGGTATGCGAAAAAACAGTTTCTGTTGTAGCGAAACCCCCAGGCATTCAGATGTAATCTACAGTTAGAGCATATACTTTCAGCACCATAGTTCTCATATCATAGATTTAACGTCCGTCTTCTCAGACGCTCACCTCTTAACTCATATGCAATCTGTAATAAACCTTGGCTTCATTTGGACTGCGCTTTGGCTTACTACTTATTGGCTTTCGCCACGGCTCACTCTCTGGATGTTTACTGCTACGAAACTTGCACTGCTTTAACGTCTAGGGTTGACAACACAAACGCTGCTCAGCTTCTTGGTACATGCTATCAGTTTATTCTGGTCCATGTATTCAACATGCTTAAACAATTATTCTCAATTCTATCACTCGTGACATATTCGAACACTTGAACATTTGAACAACATAAAGACGACATCTTCAAATACTACAACCGTCTACTCTGACTTCTGATGATCGACTGACCACGAGGCTAGCTCGGGCTTCGCCTCGCTTACTCCACCGGCCACAAGTATCTCGTGCCGTCACTTGTAGCACGGACTTTCTGCTTGCCACAATGTAATCGTGAAGACCATGCACAGCACCTCATCACACAATCGGTTTCTTCTTCATCCTTATTTCCGTTCTAATTTCTCCATCCCTGACATATGGCTTACGAATCCACCCCAGTATATGCATTATTTATGTTTCATTTGTCCCCTAGTTAACGTTAACAGCAATTATTCAGAGCTATTAGAACATTCAACTTACATTTTGCTCATTCTGTGAAAAACGAAATATTGAAATAAAATGTATTAACACTAGTTACACTGTCTGAATTTTGACCCGGGACCTTTGAGGTGATGCTTGCCACTCTGCACCTAGTATGGCTGTCTCCACCTTTCTCAGCATGCTCTGTGAGTAAGAAAAATGTTTATCGTTATAATGAAATATAATTTTTGCCTCTCTCTTTCTCCTCTCTTTCTTGTTGTAGTGGTTATCATCAGCTCAGTTTGATGCTGCTTGAGCTCGGTTACTTTCCATTCGATTTTTCTTGTATTAGAATATGCCTTGAAAAAATATCAGACAAAAAATATTAAGGAAGCAGGTTTTTAGAGGGTTGGAGACACTACAATAACGTAAATACAAATACTGCTAATCATAATAAAACTAATTGCCGATACATTAAAACATTTGCTAAATTCAACGTTTTAGTTTCTCAACGCCATAACCACAATGCATAAAAAAGCCGATACGAGTAAATTTCCTTGACGGCCTTGAAACGTAGAATTTAACGAAAAGAGACGAAAAATGATTTATATCATATGTGAATAGAGTATATGGCGAATTTTCAAGCCTATCAATGATGCAAACTCCTTAGTATCGAGAGAGAGAGAGAGAGACAGACAGACAGACAGACAGACAGACAGACAGACAGACAGACAGACAGACAGACAGACAGACAGAGAAAAAAAAAGAATTTTATAACATGTTTATAACACCGGTAATTACTGGCGTCATAGTGTCTGACATATTATAATAACTTAGGTATACATAAATAATCGTCGCTAACAGAGAAACAAAAACTGAGTTCTTTAACACTTTGCTGACCAACAATCTGGAGGATTACTGTCTCCCATTACCAAGGGTGTTTGAAGATTTTTGTAAAAATTACTTCTTTTCTAATTAAATTCATAAAAAATTTTTTTTAAGGCGTAGGGTTTTGAAACTTTCAGAGACCCATTAGGAATGGTTGCTAAACATGAAAACAAATATGTTATGCAAATATGTCACATGATCATGGTGGCCATCTTTGATTTATTTGGCTATTTATAGAAATTTCAGGAGATGTTTGAAAACCATCATCTTTTCCAAGTTTTAAGTGAATTTGTTTAACTTCAATGCAATAAAATGTTGGGGACATGGTTGGCAATGAATGAAATAAGCTTTGTATGAGTACTTTTTTAACGATTACTTTGCTGATCAACAATCCGAAGCATTACTGTCTCCCATTACCAAGCGTGTTTTACGATTTGTTTTTTAAAACAACTGCTTTTCTAATAAAATTCATTAAAAAATTTTTTAAAGGCGCATGCTATTGAAACTTTTGAAGGCCCATTAGGAATGGTTGCAACACATTAAAAAAAAATTTGTTATGCAAATATGTCACATGATCATGGCGGCCATCTTGGATTTGTTTTGCTATTTATAGAAATTTCAGGAGATATTTGAAAACCATAATCTTTTCCAAGTTTTAAGTGAATTTTTTCAACTTCAATGCAATAAAATGTTGGGGACATGGTTGGCAATGAATGAAATAAGCTTTGTACGAGTACTTTTTTAACGATAACTTTGCTGACCAACAATCCGAAGCATTACTATCTCCCATTACCAAGGGTGTTTTACGATGTTTTTTAAAACGACTGCTTTTCAAATTAAATTCATAAAAAATTTTTTTAAAGGTGTAGGCTATTGAAACTTTTAGAGGCCCATAAGGAATGGTTTCTACACACCCAAAAAAAAAAAAAAATAATTATGCAAATATGTCAAATGATCATGGCGGCCATCTTGGATTTGTTGGGCTATTTATAGAAATTTGAGGAGATGTTTTAAAACCATCATCTTTTTTCACTTTTTAGTGAATTTGTTTAACTTCAATGCAATAAAATGTTGGGGACATGGTTGGCAATGAATAAAATTAGCTTTGTATGAGTACTTTTTAAATGATTAACCAGATATTTCAACATTAAAATGAAACAAAAATTGAAAAAATGAAAAAAAAATTGTATGTTTTCTTTCTTGATTGTATTGTGTTTATGTGGCATGTTACAATGAGGATTTGTGAATGTTTGATTACAAAAACACTTCTAACCTCTAGCTAAAGTCTGAGCTACTTCATTCATTCACTGAAGTTGAAGCTGTAGCTGTAGAACTCTGCAAGAGTCTTTGTCGGGAACGTTGATAATCCTCAACTGTATGGTATAGCTTGAAACAGGGTGTCAAGCATAGAGGTGTATTGCAATCTGGGCAGTACATGCAAGTCTGGCTCCTTTTACCTGCAGCCTTACACACTTTACAGTCTGGTTTGTACTTTGGCTTTTCATATCTTTCAATAAAATGGCGTTCGGTAAGTCGTGATGTTGTGACTTGTGGTCTAGAAGGTATTACGTTGTGCCGAAGAACAGCAGGTCCGATAAGAGCAAGACTGACATCCTGCCTGAACTTCTTAGCTGTTATCTTATTTGTAGAGTTGACAGTGTTGTAGCTTATATGCCCATTGACAAGAGCAGTCTCAACTAAAAAATGATACAATGGCAGGTACCATTTATAGGATCTGTGTGGGTATGGGTAGTTTGCAGCAAGTTGGCCGAAGTGATCGACACCACCCATACTTTTGTTATATTTTTCAGCCAGAACAGGCTTGTTGATAATTCTGCCCTCAGGAGCTCCCCTTTTTCTAACTGTCTTATCCATGACATCATTGGAGTGAACAGTAGAAATTAGGTTAACTCTCTTGGTATCGTGCCAGGTAACGGCCAACATGCTTTTATCTTCTGTTACACAAAACACAGGATTATCTGCTTTTTTCAGTTTTAGCTGCTTTTTCTTTAACATCTCAGGAAAATGCTTCCTTCTTTCAGACACTGTGCCACATGCACCAATCTGCATTTCTTTTAGCTCTTGAAATAAAGCTGGGCTTGAATAAAAACTGTCACAGTACAGAATATGACCTTTAAATTCGTATCCATCAAGAAGGCGTTTTACTAGTGTTGAAGTCGTCCCGACACAACCTTCATTATTTGCCTTACCAGTATAAATCTCTAGTTTTAAACAATACTGAGATTTAGCATCGGTAAGCACAAATAACTTAAATCCCCACTTGGTAGGCTTTGCTGGCAGGTACTGCTTGAAATATATTCTGCCTTTGAACCGCACCATTGATTCATCTATGGATAACTCACATCCAGGTGTGTAGTTTTCCCTGTATGTAGGCAATATGATGTCAAGTAGGGGCCTCAGTTTGAACAAGGGATCATACCCAGGCTGTCCTCTTTCATTTCTGACATCATTATTGTTGAAATGCAGATTTCTGTGAAGCAGCTGGTATCTGTTTCGACTCATGGCCCTCGAATATGCTGTTTCATTCAGCCAAAAATTCTTAGACCAGTAGTCTGAAACTGCTGGTTTACAGCACATTCCCATACCAATATGAAGGCCTATAAATGCAGAAATTTCAACTGCATCAGTGTTATCCCAAGTGAGTTTTTTGTACTTGGCACTTCCAGTGTACTGGGACAGGTGATTTTCACCATACCTGTTGACTTCACGTGTGATCAAATCTATGGCAGTGTCAGGGAAAAAAATTTTGAAAAAATTAATCGGCAAAAATCCAGTTGTGTCTGACATAACACCTTGTTGTTCTTGGTATGGAGGAAGATTGTCAATCTCAACAAGTTCATTTTCAGCAGCCTTTCTCCATTTCCAAACGACATTTTCAGCTGTAGAAATATTTTGGTCTCTCCTGCCACGCCCACTTCTATCAACAGAAGTGCCTACATCACCTGCCTCATCAAGTCCATCATCGCTGTCGCTACTTTCAGTTGCGATATTGTCCACTGGTGCATCTCTACTAAGCCAGGAATCATCGCTTTCAGCACCATAATCACTTGCAGAGTCAGAATCGTCTCTGTTACAGGTCTGGGTTTCATCATCAGACATGATGAAAAGGCTGTATACGCACTTGACACAAAAATTAACAAAATTTCACTGAAAAAAACGCTTGTAATGACTCTAATCGATATGAATCGAAAGGACGGCCATCTTGGAACAATTAGAATACCCGGATGCAGTTTAATTCAAAAACTATCGGTAGGGACGTCGGTCGGCAGACTACAAGTCGCGAATTCGTCGATCGTCGAAGTTGGTCACCAGGGGATATGGCCGGAAATTCGTCGATCGTCGAAGTTGGTCAGCCTATCAATGATGCAAACTCCTTAGTATCGAGAGAGAGAGAGAGAGAGACAGACAGACAGACAGACAGACAGACAGACAGACAGACAGACAGACAGACAGACAGACAGACAGACAGACAGACAGAGAAAAAAAAAGAATTTTATAACATGTTTATAACACCGGTAATTACTGGCGTCATAGTGTCTGACATATTATAATAACTTAGGTATACATAAATAATCGTCGCTAACAGAGAAACAAAAACTGAGTTCTTTAAAGAGTTCAATGAGAGAAGACTGCGAGGCAGACCAAGACTGTTGTGCAGAGAATATAATAAATAGGCAGACGTACCAATTCATGGCCCCACCACCTAGAAATAAAATGTTTATCAAATAGATCGATTAGAGCTGACAATGAATATCAGTGACTCAGAATGCTGAAGAATAAGAAGAACAGCTTATTGGAAGCAACCGAACAAACCTGTTACGGTTATCCTATCTAAAAAAAAAATTTGAATTTTAGAGAAAAAAAAAAGCAAATAATCATAAATGGCGTCGTTTAAAATTACCAGAATATTTGAAAGCAATTGAAAACTCGTTCCTCATATTAGTTTCCACACGTTTCTCGTTGGCTATTGGTTCACTGGCGAACTAAGCTAACAGATGAAATGTAAATAAAGGACCTTTAACACACCATGGGATGCATTAAGCATAGAATTCTATAGTACAATATTGGTACTGACAATGGGAATAAGAGCGGTGCAATAGTGGTCACTTGGTCTGCCGTATGCACTCCTAATAATTTTTTTAGTATCTAGTTTATACGTTGTAATATCCACATTAGACATACTTCTCATTGAGAATTAGAACCAACGACTGTGGGGATGGCAAGCAAGTGATCTAGTTTCTGACACACCGCGGTTCCAGCATACATGAGATTGACATTTGTGAAATCAGCTGACAAATATGGCTTCTTCGTAATATCCTAAACCAGTTGACGTCACAGGACAGTGCAACATTTTAGAGGGTGGTAAGACTGTGTTTCCTGGCTTTCTGGCGCTTTTAACGATACTAAAATCTATAACTGGCCCTAACCCCAACCCACCAACGTCCCACGAGAGAGTGCAGCCTAGGTCCCACGACTGCAAGCAGCCTATCTACCACACCCTGAAATATTCGACTGACACGCTACCTGTGCATTTTCCCTGTTTGGGGTAGGATATTAAGAAAGCACCAAATTATGTTATCAGCTAAGCGGGCTCCCACTCCTAAAGAAACTACGAAATGATTCAGCAGATGCTACGCTTAGCTGCTATTGTTGGTAACAAGCAAAAGTAATGCACGCTAGACGTAGACAATAAGACATCGTTTAGACACAAATCGTACCTTTTCGAACTGGAGACAATAAAATATTATAATTTTAACATAAATTTTTAAAGCGATCTGTATTAGAGTATATTACAGGTGTTTGTGTGAGTGTGTGTCTAGGTGTTTGTATGTGTATGGGTGTGTTTGTATTTGTTTTTTTTTTTACTTTCTGTAATATAATTCTTACCTGATTATCTACCAGCTAATGGCTTACGTAATATCCAAAGAGTAAACATAGAATTAAACAGCTCTTTGAAAAAAAAAAAATTAAAGTACTAAAACTATGGCCATTAACATTCCGCAAGGAATAATACGATACAAATACGATAATACCAGAGAATAGCAAAGTAAAATGTCAGGATCCTTTTCCACATCTTTAGGCGTACTGGGTATAAAGGGTTATACCTATATTTTATTTATCAAACTGTACTGTGTAGGATATGTTACAGAACTAATGATACCCGCTGAAGGCCGTGTCGACCTGAGAGCCAAGGTCCTTTTTTGAAAAAAAGTCCGGCTATTGTCAGGACCCGAACGCACGACCTTCCGATCGGCAGACGAGCTCTGGCCGCTAGACCACCGTGGCTAGAGCATAGTAAATCACGTAATCAATATACCTGTATAAAGCGAATAGTACATAAGGTAACCATAGCGTTTTTAATGATTGCACTGACATGCAACATGTAAAGTAGTTTGAACATCTAACGGGATTAAATCGGGATCAACTATTAAGACTGTGTAACAATGTTAGAATGAGAGAAGAGAGAGAGAGAGAGAGAGAGAGAGAGAGAGAGAGAGAGAGAGAGAGAGAGAGAGAGGGAGGGAGATTAGGGTGGATTAAATAAAGAGTAGGCCACATCAGCGATGACTTTTAAAAATGTTAATGAAACATTAAATAGCAACATACGTGGCAGAGATATTAAAAACCAGCATCAAAACTGCATAACTGTCCCAAGAATGGCAAAATAGCTACATCATCCCAACCTCTAAACAATACAGGGATTACTCCAGACTAAACGGTTAGCGTGTAATCAACCAGCAAAACATATTCTGTAAGGTTTTCGATAGGATAGTAGTTAACACACTGCAGATGTTCCTGGAAAAAAAACAATTGCCTACCAAAAGGACTATGCAGCTAATGGCCAAATAGGGACACCAGAAGTAATGCGGGATCATTCCCGTTTATTCCAGTTCAACCGTTATGTTATGGCCCAAGCGAGAGCATCACGGGGCATTAAAATAACAAAAAAATTGCACCCATATTGGGACAGAGAGTTTTAAACATTTAGACACCGACTTACTGAAGTGTAACCCATCCAGGACATCACACTGAGCGACAAACACCCGGTGACACAAAATGCCACTATTCCTAGGATGATCACTTGATGACAGGTCCCAGAAACCCTGTTCAACCCGTAAGGTTATGATTAGTGTCCCTAACCACAGCCAGGGTGGGGCTTCAAAGAACGAACAATTGCGTCCCACATGGGGACGGGTTTCGTACTAACAAGCAATTAGATAGAAACAAAGCGTCTTTGATAAAACCAAGCAAAGTATCATCAATATGGTCTTCATTGGACGATACAATTGTAAAAGCAGACGTTCCCAAGATCACGTGGTCAAAAAGGTCAAGACACTATAAAATGTGTAGGTTTTACGTGTCAAAGAGGACTGTCTTCTCAAGACTATATCGATCCATTAATTTCAAAAGCAAAATGAAGCTTTAATGCACTACCGACGAGTATGACTGCTGCGTACATAGAACAAGGGATATCTTCTTCTTCTTCTTCGTTCACCGGTTGTGAATTCCGGCGGAAGGTACCGGTTAATCGTCCGCTTGGACTTTTGGCTTTTACCTGGACCTGAGTTTTGCGTGTACAACCGTTTTGTAACAAGGGATATGATAGACTACTAGTCAGTGCCTTGTTCTAATAGTCATTGAATACGGCATGTGGGTGCTAACCGTGCGAAACCCTCTGTTAGAGAAATTGGAACTTATACTAAATGAGGCTATCCGGATCATTCTTGGATGCACGAGGGACACACCGGGTATGTGTATGAGACACATGTTCGCCTTGCCGGGCACTGCTGAGAGACATAGTATACTGCAAGATCGGTTCTAGTTTAGATTTGTAGCTGACACAGAATGTATCCTTCATAGGCAGTGTGCACTGAGACGGATGAAAATCTGAAGAGAGGCAGATCCTGTATGATCCTGGCTAGAAAGACAATCAACAGTGTCTGCAATATTAAAGATATTAGCCGATGAGAGAATTTGTAAAGGTACTGAAGGAAAAAGAAAATACGCCAAATGTGGTAAAAACAAAGGTACGAGAATGCAGAGAATCAACGGCGGGACATACAGACGTAAAGGTTCAATAGATGATAGAGGACAACTCTACCCCAGATGACTAGATAAAGGTTTAAACAACAGATAAACATCATGGTACACGAGTAGTAACCCATAAGTGCCCCGTTCTTCTTCTAACTCAAGTCTGAGTCCGAAGAAGCTCACCACAGTTCACAGGCTCTGTAGCACCGTCGAGGATCCTGCACTACATTGGGTAGAATTTTAACTCCAAAATTTCCATGGGCAGCGCCGTTAGGCTACTCTTATTAATTCCCAACTGCCACGGAATTTTTTACGTGTGCAGCAATGCACACGGACATTTGATCTCACTAACCAGAGACCCGGGGAAATTACTAGAAGTCCAAGACCACTTGAAAAAAAAAATCCCAGCCCATATTGGGCATTGAAACCGAGACCACGCAGCCCCCACC